CTTTTGGTGCAACACTCACCACTGTTGTTCTCAATGTTGTTCTTGCGTTCGTTGTTTGCCTTGTTTTTGCACCTACAATATACAAATGAGTCAATGTTATTTTGTGTTTCCTCTGGCAACAATGATTGTTAGTTCGAGCATCGAATATCTGTAAATGCTACCGGGGAGTAAGACACTGTAAATAATATGCTTTGTACATTAGAAATATATGCATTGCAATATATTCTATGTTTGTCGATTCAAGAATAATACGACTGAACGTAAGACAAGATTAAAAATAGATTTGCAGCAGTGCTTGTGGTCTTTTTTCTGACCTACCTAGTGATAATGTTGTCAAGGTATCAGGTGATTCAGTACCTCCCTGCGTTGTATTAACATCTGGTGAAGCTGTTGTAACTGGAAAGATGTAACAAAACACAATATGAACATTAATTGAACTTTATACAAAGTTAACACATAGTATATTCGTTTTGTTTTAGACTCACCCCAAAAAATGCTGGGAACGCCAATATCACATTTACCAACACGAATACCAGGATCAGTGGTGTAACACCATGCTCCATCGCTGTTGTCTGGGTTTCGACAGAAATTGTGATTTCCAAGACCCGTTTCTGTGTGTTCGCTAGGTGTATCTGAGTGATTATGCGGGGTCAGTGATGTCCATTTCTGACATTCAGTTCCATTAGTCGTGGTGTTGACGGCTCCTCTGTAGTCAGTGCCATTAAAGTCAGTATAGCATTCACCTGTTAACAAACGCACATCATAATCTATCGGGATCAATGAAAATACTCACTACAGTGAAATAGACAAAACAAAACACCCCATTGTCTCACATAGCATAGAATTATAAATAACGTACCCGATGGAATTGATGGGAGAGATGTCGTAGGTGCCACTGTTATTACACCTACAAAAAGTAATAATAAATAATAAGTGAATAATACATAAACAAATAAATAAAATTATTCTATTTCTATTTAACGTTTTAAGTTAGTTTGTCAAATCCATTACATACTGCAATCTTCACGGGGCTCTCCTACATAACAGTAATCCCATCTAACTTCAGGGTTTGTCGTATAGCACCACACCCCATCATCCCCATCAGGGTTGCGACAGTAGTTGTGGTCTCCAAGGCCACCAAATGGAAAATTGCGTGGCGTTCGAGAGTGATAATGTATTGTTTGATCTATCCAAACGGAACAGTTTTCCCCATCTTTCGTTATGTTGACTATACCGCGGTAATCACTTCCGTCTTCCGCTTCAAAGCATTCCGATATTTCTGAAATAAAATTACATTAAGTGTATTCCCGTAATTTCTCATCAAAAAAATATGGGAGTGTTCATCAATTTTACACTATCATGACACTTACCAACTGGTTCATCCGTGTCCTTAAATACCAGCACCAGGGTTACAGCCAGAAAAGCTATAGCTACACCAACAGCAGCAATACAACTAGCTATCACCAGAAAGTTTGAGCAATTTTCCTATAGATGTAAAACCAGCAAAATTTGGTTAGTAGCAGAAAAAACGTTATTCTACTTTATTTTGTTAATTTATTCATTATTTCGGTAAATAAACACCTTTTATAATAAAAACACGTCGATTTTATTAGAATATACACACATGCTTTCAATCAAAACACCATGTCTGTTTGCCGGAAAAGAATTTGTTTTGAAAAAAGTCAAACATGCACACTTACACAGTAATACATTAGTTGGTGTTAATATATTTTAGTAGTGTGTTTATTGCTAGAACATTCATGAATGTATTAAGTCAAAATTATGTTAATCTGCTAATCTATTAACTTAAAATGACCTTAATACTACCAACAAATATTTATTTATATAGATAATCACAATATACTCCCTGATAAGTTACAATATAAGAGGCACAGTGGTGTATTGCTCGCCTTCATAGACCGGTTGTTTGAGGGCTGCAAGAATTCTGGTTAATTTCAATATAGTATGACAAAGCAGTTGTGCATAAATATTTATGAAAAAAAAAAACGGATTATGATGAATTGACCAATGTTTGTTGTTATTCTCCTAAAACACATTCGAAGTTCAGCTGTAAACAGTTACAAAAGTCGGTATGGGGGACAACAAATTCATCGGAATTGTTATAAAAACTCCTGATATTCATAATTTGCATCGATAACACCCTGAGTGAGTGAGTGAGTGAGTGTGAGTATTGATCACATGATGTTCGGGCGAAAACTCACCAATATTGGCAATATTAGACTCTAATTGAATGTAATGAAATCCTCATCCTTTTTCGGGATTCCGATTTTTGGTGAAGTATTTTCTCAGAGGGGCATGTCTCCGGCATAACTGTAACTCTGCAATTTAGTGCTACAATCACAGCCTAGCTTGTCTGCCATCTTAGTTGAATCTGACTCACTATCAGATGTGCACTTATACCAATCGAAAATATTATCGCCAATTTGCCAAACAATTTTCGCTGGTGTCAAGGCAACGTTAAGTACATAAACTTATGAATGTAATACACACGTTTCAAACTCCCGATTACAGCAAAGCACCCTGCTTACCCTTCTACTTCATCATGATGTAACTAAAGAAGTATATTATATATGCTTTCGATTAGTGACAAAACCAATATTGCGATGTTATATTTTATCACTTAAAACCGTTTGAGTTAATTGAATTATTCGAAATTTTATAACCAGATATCAATAAGCCATTTTAACCAAACTCCAAGTTCACAAGTGACAATCACGCATCTAAGCAACCAGTTGAGTCCATGACACATGACAAGCTGTAAACCTAATCTCGTAACAATATCTGTGATACTTAAAGCTGCGAATGAATGTTAAATGGTGCACTTACGGCATTTGTAAGAGTGATTCTGCCATTCAGCACAAATATTATATAAAAAACCAAAAACACAGACTGAAAAGTGCGATCATGGATCAGTGCCTGCTTTCGGAAAGACAATTTCGTTCGACACCGAATCACCGAGAACACGTACGTTTGCTCCCTGCACTTTGTGGAAGCAAATGGTATTACGGAGTTGCATCTAGACCCAATACGGGCGACTGCGAGAGTGGTTTAATGCCTTATATCAGAATCGCGGAAGACAAGGTCGTAACCAAACCAAGTAATTAGAAATATGTCAACGCTTTGTTCACAGTCGGATTGATGACACATTAATTAACATTGTTAGCGCTAGGTCATGATAATCATTAGCCACTGTGGCGACTGGCATGCACTGTTATTTGCCACATTAGTTTTCAATTAGCCACACATACTTGAATTTTGTTATAAATGAAAAACAAATTATATTATCATTATATAGGTATTCAGATTTATAGTGGAAATTATTGTAATGCGTTATAGAATTACATGATATTGTAATTCGGAATGTAAGCAGTTATTTTGCCTACCACATGAACCATTTTAAATTTCCGTTGGTATGTGCATGTAGGTATATACAAGTAGCTCTGTGGTATATGCTAATGTGGCTAATGTAGAGTGCTAACGCCGGATAGTTGAAAACATCAGATAAGCCGAATTCTAGAACATAAATCGTTAAAGTAACCAGGTAGATTCAGAGGATCGGTGCCATTACAGCCACTTTTGTTACGTTTTAAGATTGTTGCGTAACAAATCAGGGTCTTCCTCGAATTCCAAATCATACACATCATCGTCGATTTCAAGAAAAATTGTTTTTTTTTTATAGTTTGACGATGAAACTCCAAATTTACGCACGAAGGCTTTGAGCTGTGTCACGGTCTAAGAAATCATTCGGTAATTTAACGATCAACACAAAACGATTATCACGTGCCTAGCAACCTGTTGCTAGGCACCTGTATGAGGCTTTTTGAACGCTGACGGGATTTTGTATGCATTTCAAAAAAACTATAGCATTTGACAAAATAATATATAAGTTTATACATCAAAGATGAGCAGCGTGTTAAATAATCAGAATTCTGCTTCGCCAACAGAATATTTACAATCAACACAACATAATTCTAGGCGAGGATGGTTACCGGGCCACTTTTTCTTTCAAAGTTTTATATATGGAAAATATTTCTAATGTAGCTATGTATAAATGCACACAGTATACTCACTGCTTGTACCATTGTGAAGGCCCGGTGTTACATATGACCTGTCAATAAAAAACAATGTCTGTTAGTATGATATCATTTCTAATCACTTGACCCGAAAAACCGACTGTCAAATGATTCATATCAATTCCCATACAACACAGTATACAATTATTGTCATAAATATCGTTTCGATATTAGACACGAAATATTAATTTTGTTGATATTACCCAACTATGATTTTGGACTCTTGGAGATTGATTATTTTCTATCCGGTATGGTATTGAAAGTTGTCATAGTTACTGTATATATTAATAAGAGATTTGTAGTACTTGAAACTAATTAAGTTGTTTTATTTTTAGAGTACAAAATCAAATCTACTTCATATGATACCTTTCATTTGCAGGCACGTTAAATTATGAGATAAATGATTATTACTCCACACAGAAGTTGAAATGTATTGTCACAGTTATATAAATACATGAACATAAATTTGTCCATGAATAGTGCAGAATAACAAATTACTATTGCAACAGCCCTATCAAATATGAGAATATTACTTGAAACAAACTATGACCTTTTTGACGACATGCTGTCAATATATTTACCACTCTTAACGTATAGTAGTAAGGTTGCCCACATCAGATATAAATTTGTGTATAGCATACTATTTTGATATATATCGTCGAAAGGTCTAACATCTTTCAGTATGAAACACGCCCTGACTACACAACATAAACTAACATAAATATAAATTTAAAAATCATTGTTTTTTATTTTTTTATAAATTATTTAGATAAATTTGATCCGTAAAATAAAATAATACATTATTTGAAACCGACTGTCATAGAATCCAATTGATTGGATGTGTTTTTCTTGACAAATTAGTCGAAAGGAAACTAAAACATACACTAATAATATAAAAACAATATATACAATTGACCACTATTTTTCATAATTGGTTTGTTTTGAATATTACGTTTCCCGAGCTGATTAATATTTTACAGGTACTTTATTTAGACAAGTGGATAATAACCGCCATTTTGTTTCTAGTCCGATCTGAACATATGGCCACTATGAAGGACGAAAGATTAAATAAATAACGTTACAAGCATATGCAATATCATATTGAAGCCTAGTTGTACATTTACATATCCACAAAGTTATCTTGTGACTATTCTTAAATAAATTAATATATTTTGTATAGGCATTTACACTAGATCTAGAATTTAACTAGTTTAATAGCGCTCATACAGTTTGACTCATTGGGCTTTGTCCCTAATATTTCACGACTTCATACAAACGTAAATAATAAGTATATTTGATTGAAAATAGCTCATTATGTTCGTTGACAATAAGGCGATTCTCCAACGAATGCGTCCACTAGGATACAACATATACTCACAATTTATATACTCTTGACTAGTAGCTTATTCAGGTGACGGAATATTTAACTTCGGCGGGAGTTTATGTCGCGAATTTCGATATTATTCCGGGAACACGTACTATGAAGACGAATTTCACCAGTTATATAACGACTAAACCGCTTACGTTTACCTATGCGCGAGATAGGAAGTTTCTAGTATATAATACGAGATGACCATATGCTTCAAATCGGTATTCTCAACGCGTGTGCTTCTTCTGATTGTCTTTAAAGTGATGAGAATTATACTACGGCAATAGCGTTTATTTCCCTCACCACCTATCTGTTGTTCCCAGCACAGAGTTCAGTTATTTAATGCCCGGCATCGAATTAAATTTATTTTTAGGCATGACATGAATACATACCTCGCGCACGTAGGTTAAACTACCAAACAATCAAAGCAGTTATTCGCCACTTTAGGTTATTTCTGAGCAAATCATTCACATAAAATTAATTATTATTTACATAATAAATATTTTGTACAACACAACTTTATTTACCCAATATTTGATATATAAAAATCATGAATAAAATAGGGTATTGTCCCAGTGTCGTCATAGCCTATTCTTGTAGAAATACAACGAGATTCACACCATTCTCATAGAACTGGTAAGCGACATACTATCTTCTCATAGAAGACGCAATGAGGCATACCGCTCTTTCTGAAAAATTATTCATGCGTATCTCATGAAAATGGTGATACATCATGTCCCGCAGAATTTGTAAAATATAATCCTTCCTTGAAAAAATAGCAAAAAGAATAACCCTTTGTAGAACAGATATTATATACACGGTAAACTCCGTGTGTAAATATGGTAAAGAGCATATGTTTCTGTATTACAATAGGTGTGAAGACAAGTGCTTTCATAAAATTTGGGAAAAAAGTTGGTCGGTCAGTCAGTGTGGTTGGTCAGTGTGTTGAAAATCAATTCCAACATTCTTGAGGTTTGACATATTATAATAGATAATTATGTTTCACGGGGAGGTACAGAGGC